GGGTTTATGATCAAGTTTATCTATGAGAAATATTTGAATCTCCTCTGAATTCTTTTATGTATGATTGGTTATCTTTGCAAGTCTCTTCGAATTATCAGTTTGGTTTGGCCTACTAGATTGATCTTTCTTGCAATGGGAGAAGTGCTTAGCTTTGGGTTCAATCTTGCGGTGTCCTTTCCCAGTGACAGCTGGGGCAGCAAGGCACGTATTGTATTGTTGCCATCGAGGATAAAAAGATGGGGTTTATATCATATTGCTTGAGTTTATCCCTCTACATCATGTCATCTTGCCTAATGCGTTACTCTGTTCTTATGAACTTAATACTCTAGATGCGTGCTGGATAGCGGTCGATGTGTGGAGTAATAGTAGTAGATGCAGGCAGGAGTCGGTCTACTTGTCGCGGACATGATGCCTATATACATGATCATGCCTAGATATTCTCATAACTATGCACTTTTCTATCAAGTGCTCGACAATAATTTGTTCACCCACCGTAATACTTATGCTATCTTCAGAGAAGCCACTAGTGAAACCTATGGCCCCCGGGTCTAATTTCCATCATATAAGTTTCCGATCTACCTTATTTTGCAATATTTACTTTTCAATCTATATCATAAGAATACCAAAAATATTTATCTTATCTTATTATCTCTATCAGATCTCACTTTCGCAAGTGGCCGTGAAGGGATTGACAACCTCTTTATCGCGTGGTTGCGAGGTTCTTGTTTTGTTTGTGAAGGTACGAGGGACTTGTGTGGAGCCTGCATAGCAACGAGAGGGGGAGAGTGTGTCCACGTACCCTCGTAGACCAAAAGCGGAAGCGTTAACTTAACGCGGTTGATGTAGTCAAACGTCTTCTCGAATCAACTGATCAAGTACCGAACGCACGGCACCTCCAAGTTCTGCACACGTTCAGCTCGACGATGTTCCAAGAATTCTTGATCCAGTAGAGGCACGAAGGAGTCGATGAGTTCCATCAGCACGACGACGTGATGACGGTGTTGGTGAAGTGATCCGCGCAGGGCTTCGCCTAAGCACTACGACAATATGATCGGAGGAGTAAACGGTGGAGGGGGCACCGCCCACGGCTAAGACAATTGATGTGCCTTTGGGGTGCCCCCTGCCCTCGTATATAAAGGAGGATAGGGTAGGCCGGCTGGCCCTAGGGGCACTCCAAGTGGGGGAGTCCCACTAGGACTCCTAGTCCTAGTCGGCTCCCCCCTTCCTGCCAACAGAGAGGGGAAAGGGGAAAGAGGGGGAGAGGGAGAAGGAAATAGGGGTCGCGCCCCCCACCCCTTGTCCAATTAGGACTGCGATGGGGGGGCACCTCTTGTGGCCTGCCTCCTCCTCTCCACTATGGCCCATGAGGCCCATTAACTTTCCCGGGGGGTTCCGGTAACCTCCTAGTACTCCGAAAAATTCCCGAATATTTCCGGAACCATTCCGGTGTCCGTATATAACCTTCCACTATATCAATCTTTACCTCTCGACCATTTCGAGACTCCTCGTCATGTCCGTGATCTCATCCGGGACTCCAAACAACCTTCAGTCACCAAAACACATAACTCATATAATTCATATCGTCATCGAATGTTAAGCGTGCAGACCCTACGGGTTCGAGAACTATGTAGACATGACCGAGACACCTCTCCGGTCAATAACCAATAGCGGAACCTGGATGCTCATATTGGTTCCCACATATTCTACAAAGATCTTTATCGGTCGAACCGCAATGTCAACATATGCTATTCCCTTTGTCATCAGTATGTTACTTGCCCGGGATTCGATCGTTGTTATCCCCATACCTAGTTCAATCTCGTTACCGGCAAGTCTCTTTACTCGTTCCGTAGTGCATTATCCCGTAACTAACTCATTAGTCACATTGCTTGCAAGGCTTCATATGATGTGCATTACCGAGAGGGCCCAGAGATACCTCTCCGATACTCGGAGTGACAAATCCTAATCTTGATCTATGCCAACCCAATAAACACCTTCGGAGATACCTGTAGAGCAACTTTATAATCACCCAGTTACGTTGTGACGTATGATAGCACACAAGGCATTCCTCCGATATCTGGGAGTTGCATAATCTCATAGTCAGAGGAATATATAGACACGAAGAAAGCAGTGCAATAAAACTGAACGATCATTATGCTAAGCTAACGGATGGGTCTTGTCCATCACATCATTCCACTAATGATGTGATCCCGTTTATCAAATGACAACTCATGTCCATGGCTAGGAAACTTAACCATCTTTGATCAACGAGCTAGTCTGGTAGAGTCATACTAGGGACGCGGTGTTTTGTCTATGTATTCACACATGTATCAAGTTTCTAGTTAATACAATTCTAGCATGAATAATAAACATTTATCATGAATAAGGAAATATAAAATAACAACTTTATTATTGCCTCGAGGGCATATTTCCTTCATGATCATACCCCCATAGATAGCCATCTTCGAGCACAATTTTGCAACCACCCTCCTTGAGCTGACCAAGACTTATGATGCTGCTCTTTAGCTTGGGAATATAGTACACATCCGTGAGTACCTTGTGACCGTCGTTCTTCAACTCAAACAGGACAATACCTCGCCCTGCGATGTCAACGGTCCATCCGTCGCCGAACCGAATCGTGCCTCCCACCGAAAGACTGAGATCAGAAAACTTGTCTTGTCGCCGGTCATGTAGTTGCTAGCGCCCATGTCGAGGTACCACACGTGCCTCGCCGCGTTCATCCTCTTTTTGTCATGAAGATAGACCGCCTCCTCTATGAGCGTGACAACCTCTGTACCCGGAGCCTTTGGAGCTAGACTATCCTCGTCCATTAGCTCGCATACTTCGACCATGAGCATCATGGCTCCATCATCGCCTCCTTTGGCCATGAGAGCTTTCTCCTTCTGTGGTTTCTTCCACTCCGACTTGAAGTGCCCCATGATGCCACAGTTGTGACACTTGATCTTGTGCTTGTCGAACTTCTTCTTCGGAGCACAGTCGACGACGTTCTTCTTACTTTATTCTTTTGGCGCACGATCTTGGAGAGTGTTGCTGCTAGAGCCCTCGGCTCCTCTCCTTGAGCCCAGTGCCAGCCACTGAGCCCAAGTGAGCATGACATGCTCATCGTTCCTCCCATCCCCGGGACTGTACCGCATGCGCTCGTTGTGAGCCTTGTAGCGTCCTACGAGATCGTCGGTGGAGAGAGTCGTGATATCGACGCACTGCCCGGTCGCCGTGACAATTTGCAGGTACCAGGGAGGGGACGCGCGCAAGAACCGCTGGACAACCGAGGCCTCCGTGAGGTTTTCTCCAAGCGCACGAATCCGATTGAAGAGAGTAGCCACCCGTGAAGCGAATGCATCCACAGACTCATTGTCGCCCATGACCAAAGTCTCGTAGTTCCTTAGGAGAGTTTGGAGATTGCCTTGCTTGACGTGGGTGTGTCCCTCGAACATGAGCTTCAAAGTATCTCACGCCTCCTTCACTGTTTCTTTGGCGATTAGGTGTTGGAGGACATCCATCGGCATCACCGAGTAAATCGCCGACGCCGCCTACCGATCCTTCCGGTGTCGGCTCCCTCCTTCTTGAACGCGTCGCCTCCTGGATCAACCACGTCCCATAGCTCGTTGGCGCGGAGACCACACTCCATGAGGGCCTTCCAGACCCCGAAGTTCTCGCGATCAAACCGTGGGCATGACGTACCGGGCACGGCAAGTACTTTAGCCGCTCCGAACGATTCCACGATCTCCTTGCCCGTCATGACCTTCCGTCAGTAGAAGATCAACCTTGCTCTAGATACCAATTAGATCGTTGACGTAGATGCCAACTAGTAGACGAACCCTTCCTTCACCTCTCTTGTACATTGTATGCGTCGGACACGACGACGTGGTTAATTCCAACAACTGAAACACTTACGTCCATTGGTTCAGCAGCAAGGCGTAGGCAACATATCGCTTTTCAAGGCCCCCATCTTTTACTCACTTGATGTAGAGTAAAAGGCTGCTTGTCGATCGCCTTAATCACCGACGCGCGTGGAAGATTCCAACCCCGCTGTCCGCCATTGGAGGCCATCCTTGCCGCGTGACCAGTCTGTGTGAGGAATCCTCCGCCAGCAACTAGCTAGAGTTGAATGCTGCAATTTCCGGGTTGTCTCCAACAAAGATCATGAGTGCCCATCGATCCATCAATTTCCGAGTTGCCAATCCATTCAATGAGCTCTAGCAATCAGCTTACTACTATTATTGCATCACCGAACACTTACGTCCACCGGTTCAGCAATGGGTATGCAACGCATCACTTTCCAAGGCTCCTATTTTCCTCACTTTTTCTCTGAGAAAGGTCCTGTTTTTCTCACTTGATGTAACGTGCTGCTTCCTACTGGTCGATCGCCTTAATAACTACCAATGCGCGCGGAAGATTCTTCCCTCGATTTTCCAACGCGGAAGATTAATCATCAGAAAGAGATGGCCGAGTGCTTCCACACAACCACCGCTTTATCATCACCAGCTCTATTTTCCGAGACCCTGATCAGATCGACGATCCATTCTCTCTCTACTGGGTTTCTCTAAAACAACGGCGCCTTGCTCCTCCTGCGTCGAGCTTCTCGTACCGTCGCCTCAAGT